CGGCACAACTTCCGTACACGAGCATAACACAGTGGTGCAATTCTCCTAAATTATTTCACCTACTTCCGTTACAGTTATGATAAGCTAGAATAACTGTCAAAATAGCATAGTAATTTTCCTGCACGACATAACGTATAAATAACCTTTATAAACAACACTGCGAAACGCAAGCATAGCGCTTCACATGTTTTGAGCTCTCAGATTTACTCCTCACGCTGCTACGTAGGCGCAATGATAGGTAGTGAACAATTTCGTTAAAATAAGCACGATGCGCCTCAGATAGCTACAGCACTCGTGGTTAAGAAAGATTGATCGTATTTTCCAAGCCTGTGTCTTAGTTCATTATATCAAGTGAAAAAAAAAAGGAGCTGTAAATGCACCGGAGGTTCCATATGTTGGTCTCCGCTGTAAGAGGCTACGTTGCCACCAATCTGAACACATAAAATATCAAGTCTGCGTCTTAGAAAGAGTGGCGCAGACACGCTGGCATATGTATTTCACACGGCTACGAATCAGGTACTCACATTGCTTATACAGGTATGGTTCGTCGGCTGCCACTTGTCCCGCTTGATTTTAGCGGTCCATAGGAGCCGTCTTTTTGGGTCTCTGGAAAGGAAAACATTCTGCAGCCATTTTTAGCGCTGTTACTGCATTGAGGAACGCAGCACCCAGGCATTCTGTGCAAAGACGGCGTGAAGAGTGGTGCTTTCCGTGTCGAGCGAGAGAGTCGGCGCGAGCGGAAAGCAAGAAAATGGCCTTGGAGCTCCCCGAGAACCGGTTGTGGCGGCAACTGCTCCCTAAAAGAGTGGCTCCACCCTAAGCGGGGGCGCGTGCATCAAGGCACCCTAGTATGTCTACTCCAGTTGCGGCGCCTGGCGGTGAAACACTGCTCTAGCACCCATGGCCTCTTCCCGTTGAAATCTGCTTCTTCGCCAAGGCCATGGAGGAAGGAAAGATAGGAGAGGGTATGCCCAGCTGGTGCGCTACGTGAAAAGTGTGGAGAAAATTACATCACGATCATCATCATCAGCCTGGCTACGTGCACTGCAGGACAAAGGCCTCTCCCAGGTTCCGCCAGTTAACCCGGTCCTGTGCTTGCTGCTGCCAACTTATACCCGCAAACTTCTTAATCTCATCTACCCACCTGACCTTCTGTTTCCCCCTAACCCGCTTGCCTTCTCTGGGAATCCAGTTAGTTACCCTTAATGACCAGCGGTTATCCTGTCTACACGCTACATGCCCGGCCCATGTCCATTTCTTCTTCTTGATTTCAGCTATGATATCCTTAACCCCCGTTTGTTCCCTAATCCACTCTGCTCTCTTCTTGTCTCTTAAGGTTACACCTAGCATTTTTCTTTCCATTGCTTGCTGCGTCGTCCACAGTTTAAGCTGAACCCTCTTTATAAGTCTCCAGCTTTCTGCTCCGTAGCTAACTACCGGCAAGATACAGCTGTTATATACCTTCCTCTTGAAGGATAGTGGCAATCTACCTGTCATAATTTGAGAGTGCTTGCCAAATATGCTCCACCCCATTCTTATTCTTCTAGTTTCTTCAATCTCGTGGTTCGGTTCCGCGGTTATTACCTGCCCTAAGTAGACATAGTGTTCTACTACTTGAAGTGCACTATTACCTGTCTCGAAGCGCTGCTCTTTTCCGAGGTTGTTGTACATTACATTCGTTTTCTGCGGATTAATTTTAAGACCCACCTTTCTGCTCTCCTTGTCTAACTCCGTAATCATGAGTTTCGATTCGTCCCCTGAGTAACTCAGCAATGTAATGTCATCGGCAAAGCGCATGTTACTAAGGTAATCTCCATTAGCTCTTATCCCTAACTATTCTCATTTTAGGCTTCTGAAACCCTCCTGTGCGCACGCGGTAAATAGCATTGCGGAGATTGTGTCCCCCTGCCTTACACCCTTCTTGATGACATCATGGCGGCCATATTCGCTGAGCACAATGGCGGCGTTGCTGTGGTTACGTGTTGCGCAGTGAAGCTGGTCTAGCAGTAAGCGGCCGCGGCTGGTGGCGGCACGTGTGCCTCTGCAGATCTCGTGCCGAGCCATGACGAACAATATCCGTGATCTGCGCCTGCGCCACGTTATTGGTTACGCAGTGTTCTCCTGGCAGGCGCACGACCGATCGTGTTGTCTGTACAGTTGCTGAGTTAATGGCATGAAAACACTCACCGTTGTCAGTGCATCTAGCGCGCGTTCTCTTGCACATGTTTCGTTGTGGGTGAGCAGTTACTCGCTGTTAATACTCGGATGAATGATTTCGCGAAGGCTTCGCGTTGGCCCAGAGGGTTGAGTCCCGTTACATTGCTTTCGGATCATCAGGACACGCGCACTGCGCAGCCCACTTGCTTTCAGAGCCGGAGAGAGAGTCGTGCCTTCTGCTTTACATTCGGATGTAAATAAGAGAGGAGAATTTGCCCAGTTAATATGGCTGATTTCTGGCTTCACCACGGCTTCACATGGAGTGACGTCAGGGCCTCTCCTATCTTTCCTTCCTCCGTGGTGTAGGCCATGTCTGCTGGATGACTACGCACCGCACCGCGAGAGTTCATCTACCCATTATCAAGGGGCCATGCCTAGGCACTGAAAAAATAGAGGAGGCGCTGCTCACCATCTTCCCGATTCTTAGAGCCAAAGCAGAATATATTGTACGTCTGATTGGTCGCTGGCTTGAAGGGTGCTTCAAATTTTTGGGCGCCCCGCCACGGTGGTCTAGTGGCTAAGGTTCTCGGCTGCTGACCCGCAGGTCGCTGGTTCAAATCCCGGCTGCGGCAGCTGCATTTCCGATAGAGGCGAAAATGTTGTAGGTCCGTGTGCTGAGATTTGGGCGCATGCTAAAGAACCCCAGGTGGTCAAAATTTTTGGAGCCCTCGACTGCAGCGTCTCTCATAATCATATGGTGGTGTTGGGACGTTGAACCCCACATATCAATCAAATCAAATTTTTGGGCGAGGATCTTGATGTCATGCTTGTCGTCCCCCTTTTCAAACGACCAGGTATAGAATAGTCTCCTTGCTTCTTTTCCGAGTTCCGTTAAGAACGTTGCAGCTTGAACTTCCTCTGATTGTTCTGTCAGCTTCGTTGCCGTTGCATAAAGGTCGAACTCTTTCTTCCGTATAGTCAAGCTGTGAAAGGCATTTCCGGTCAAGTCTAGGGGTTTCAGCGGTGAAATTATCGACGATGCCGTACTTGTGACAGCGTATCCCACTGCAGCGTTTTTTTTTGTCTACCGATTTACACTGTCGAGACAACCGAAGGTATCGAACCGCTGCCCACTTCTGACACCGTGTAACACACTGAAAGTGCGAATGAGAATGATTGTTTTATTGCAAGCTGCTCAGGCTGTTCTATAAGGCTGTTCCGACACGTGCAGTGGCATAGCTTTGTACACACGTGCCGATAAAAATGCAGACGCAAACTACTACAGATACGGCATTTCTTATAGCGTGATGACGTGCGCTATGCGGGCAACCAATGGGGTAGCATCATGGCAACACTGCTGCACGCGCCGATTTTAAGAGCACTGCGAGGTGGTGGAAGTCTTGTTTCGAGTGACAAAAACGAGCACGAAGAGGTTTGCAATGTGGGCTTCTTGCTGATGCACTTGAAAGAAGGAACAAAGATGACAGACGTACGGTACTGGAGAAGGAAACACGTCTATCGCATTTCTGTGGGAAAACACTTGGCCGCACGTGTGACGCAAGCAGCCCTGCCCTACATGTGGCGTCGCATCACGACCACTCCCATAACTAAGGCGGACCGACGGCTCCTGTTGATGAGCGCATGTTTGCAGGGGCGTGGAAAGAAATTAAGGAGGCGTTGTGCGAACTGACAATAACATGCTTTCTTTTCTTACTTTACAACAAAAAAATCACAAGTGAAATTACTTGAAGACCCGCTTGTTTAACTGGTTTTAAAATACCATTTGCGTGCGCACTTGCATTTGAAACAAAGCTTACCGGCACTGATACGCCCCTTGCAGCTTCCCAACTTTCGAGGGCAATAAGCAGCGAGGTCGCGCGATAATAACTCCCGCTGACATGACAGCACATCCGTTTCATCTATTAAATTTGAGCAACTTCCGCACTCTGAGAAGTGGCTTGCAAGGATCGCTGCCGTGGAAAAGAGTAGCTAGAAGGCGAGAATATGAGCAGTGCAACGATGGAAGCTGTCGTAGTGCAAAAAATATTTAAAGACACGGACGAAGGCTAAACATGGCGAACTCAATTGCTCGAAACTGCAAGGCCATTCGGACAAAAAAAAAACAAACAAGAGGTGCACACGAAGAAACTGCACAGTCGCCGCCACATAGAAAATATGGCGATTAGCAAAAAAGCATAAAAAATTTAAGTATATAAATGGAACGTATTAATATTAGAAAGGCTACAGATGGGCATAACAGCAGACCATAAAATAGCCTTCAAGAAACAAAAAAAAACTGCCCATCTGACCCACCTAGAAAAAAAAGTTCACGATAACACCACTGATGGGATACCGACACAGTTTTTATCCTGAATAATTCTTAATGAAAACGGCTGTCGTAATTAAGCGCGTAGGAACCTTACCATCTCGCCCAGCTGTCGAGCTTATTAAAGTAGTGGACGGAGTTCAGCTGCGTCGGAGGCGTTCCTTTCTGCTACGTAAACTAACGGCTTAATCTCCATTTTCACGGCCACGGGGAGATGTCTTCGCCGACGGCGTTCGAATGTGCAGCTGACTTGCGGACTATCGCCTGTATCGAAGAGCCCCGCGAAGCGAGGTGGAATGAAAACAATGCTGACGTCCACCGGTGCGATTGAACGAGCGGAGTGTGGGTGCTTAAAGGGCTCGTAGCCATGATAGCTGGAAGCGACTTCCTCGAGAGATTCGGAGACGGCGCAAAGCAGGCGCGGGAGGAGGGTCCTTCGTAACCCAACACGGCCACCATCGCCCGGCGGTAATCTGCGGCAGCACTGGCCGCTCCTCTTTCCACCGAAAGTCACACGAGGCGTGCCAAGGAAAGAAGGCGGTGTGAGGCCTAGCGACGCTCCTTTCCCGAGCTGGATGCCGCGCAGGCTCCCAGCGGCCTCTTACAGCGTGCCAGCATCATGATGACCACGGCGAGTGACCGTCGGACTTCGTTGGCCGGCGACCGCATCCTGCTTGGCCGCCGCCTGGCCGCCGGATATCTGCGGTATCGCCTGCTCGTCGCGGTGCTCGTCGCTTGTGTGATGGCGTTGGCACCGGCCGTCCAAGGGTCCTGTCCGACGCGAGAGTTCATCTACCCGTGCACATGCACCGAGACCTTCATCGGAAACTACGTCATGTGCACCGTCGTGCGCGAGGAACAGCTCAGGCTGCCGTTCCAGTACCTCAGAGACTACAACCTGAGCCGACTGTTCCTTAGCAACGTCACATCGAGCTTGAATCCGGACGTGTTCACGGGACTCAAGGTCGGCACCTTTAAAGTGGCCGACTCCAGATTTAAGATGGAGGACACGCGTCAGCCTAGCTCTTGGCCTTCAGTTTCAGCAGGACGTTGGACGAGGATACAAAGCCTAGAGTTTATGCGCTGTTACGTGGACGCTGGTGCTAACTTTTTCGGCGCCTTGGACGAACTAGAAACACTGTCCCTGTTGAACAGCACAGTGACACGTTTCGGCCGCGAGTGGATTGGAGCACTCGTAAATCTCACCCACCTGGTGGTCGATGCCGTGAGCTTCCACGAACTCGATGCCGACGCGCTCGCTGACCTTCCCAGGCTCAGCACGCTGGTGTGGTCCAGCAATGGTGCCACCACTTTGACCCGGGACTTCTTTCCTCGCCGAGCGCGGTACCTAAACAGCATTGACCTCAGGTAAGCCAGCTTCGACGGTGCTTCCCCACGCAGCAAAAAACGACGGGTGCATCTACCACATAAAGCGATGGCAATTCATCCCTGGAGATATTACCAAGTCGACAAGTTCTTGAACTTGAGACTCGTGCAGCCGGAGAGACCAGTATTTATTTATTCGAATGGACCTTACATGGCCGCATGGGCATTGAGTAAAAAAGGGTTTGACGGACATCGTAAAGACTAGATATATTAATACGTACACATAAAACCAGACTCATAATGATATTTTACTGCAATTTGTCACTCATCAACATTGGTTGGTATATGGAGAAGTACATCACTAAAGGAAAGAATAAATTTATTGCGTGGATTGCTGGGAGGTCACCCCGTAGCTGTAACGTATCGTCTCTCAGTGCAAATACTTTCTTGGTATTTAGTTGCAAGAATATGAGCGCGTAGCTTCTAGACCTCGTGATATGTTGGTCAGAGATAAGTAAGCAGTGGGTATCCGAACATCACTGCACGTGCCAGCTCTTTGTGTGAAATGATAAGAAATATTGGTGTGCAAAATTGCTCTGCCGAACAGTGTTTAGTTGCACGGTAGCATAGAACCATAGCTCGAACGAACGGTTCCAACTTTTTGTTAGTTTGAAAGAGTGCTATCTATTTGAAGCCACAGAGCGCAGACTGTAGACAGCTCGGAGCACGGCATCCTGCTGCGAGGACTTAGGCAAGCGACTGTTGATAATGCCCCTGAATTCGAACGGTTGGTAGATTGAGGAAGTCAATGCTACCTCAATCTCAATACTTGAAACTGGGAGAATTATCGTAAAAATGCAAAGAATTTTTTGAACCTCACGACAAGAGAACTACGAGCCACTTAATACACCCTTCTTTATTTTACTGATAAATATATCTGTACCATTGCAGTATGCCTCTTCTCTGGCTTGCTTGGACACGCATAGAGGTTAAGATGTCTTGACTGCGGAAAAAGGGAAATAATAGGAGGAAGACCTGCCGATGATTGTCGCTTAACTCTCTTTAACTACCACTTTTCAACACGTTTCTTTTAAACTGCTGTAGTACTACAGCACGTGCACCTATGGTGTCACTTTTAAACCTTACCACTAGTAGCGTTACTTCGATGTGCTGAGCAGGGTTCATTTGGAGGCTACTATGAAATCGACGCTTTACACATGTTTACATTTTGGTGCTGTGATTAATTTTGTTATTTCAGCTTGATTGAGTCACACGTAATGCGCATTTATTACGCAGCACAGCTATTTGGTCTAGTTAGAAACGGCTCATCCTCAAGGAGTGCGAGCGGAACACATGAACGACGAAGATAGACGCAGGACGGGCACTTTATAACAACCATAGTTTTACAGTGAAAAAAAAAAAAGACTCATTCGAACTGAACTGTGCAAGGTTTTTAACCAAAAATAAAAAGAGACATCCCTATCATCCTGCTTTTATTTTGCGCCTGTTCAGCCATTTTATGTGTTTCACTGTGCGCGCTGATGCGCTCAAGTACCTTGCGTAGTTCATTTCGGTGAAGTGTTTTTCATTTCATTTATTGAAACGTGCCTGTATTGCTGCATGTGTCCCTTCTTTGTCGTGTGTTTTCGTTCTATGGTCTCTCAACTGTGAGTCCGAGAGGCTTCCAGGATGTCACTGTCGGCGTCTTGTATACAGTCAAAATAAGCGAAGCCTAGAAAGTTGTGCCAGTGCATGTGCTTGATTTTTGGAATGCCATGAAGTGTTTACACGAGATGTAACATTCCGGGCGTTCCGTTGCTTGGACGAAGGCCAAGTAACACGAGGTTTTATCTGTTGAGATAAAGTGGCAGGGCGCATAGCCTGGGGCTCGGCGGGCTTCATAATTACCAGTAAAAGGGCATACATCACGCACAGTAGAAACTAGCATTGTGAGCTGTCTTCGCGAGGCTCTTCCGCCTTCGTCGCAGATGCATTTGTGAAGCGATAACGCTTAAACTAAGCGGCACAGCAAATCCCTGGCTTGCAGAGAGTGCTGCGCGCCTGCCCGGTTCTGACGCAGCGGCATGTGATGACGGCTTTGCGCTGGTCGGTTCTTGGCGTAAGCGTCTCTAGCGAACGGCTTTATCATGTGTGTCACGGTGCTAATGTCGACAGCATAACTCTTCGCTCAGGACTCTAATGAGTGTCAACCCGAGATGCATTGGGTTAGCTATGCCGGCCCAAAATAACGACCTACTTGCAGATGAGACTTACATTCACGCTTCGACGCGGTTAGGTATATTGATGTGCTATCATGTCCCATGCGTGGAAATAATGAATCGTTTCTAAAGCAAAATTTTTTTTGTCAATGTTCCCGTTGTTTGTGTGGTTGACGCGAATACTTTTATTTCATGCACTGAAACAATAGATGCAACGTGTACGCATACCATGTCGCATAAGTCGGTGCGTATAGCACAGAGCACAGAGGCATCTTTATGAAATAAGAGACGGCATTCTGTGTTTTCCTTGATTGTCATATTATTTTAAAGGTGGGCTTACCCCTTCATGAATAATTGTGGTTCTGTGATTTGACCGGCTTTTTTTGATCGCTATAATTTGCGTATAATGGGGCTGATGCGTTCTGAGAGCTATTGAGCATGTGCAACTGGATGCGTGATTATTGCTGACCAATATTGTAAGAAGTTTATGCTCTAGTTTTACCGTTATTCTCTCTACAAGCGCTGTCTTGAAGTCACTGTGTGAGTGTCTTTCGCGCTGTACGCCGGTTTCAGTTTCACTTTGCGCTTCGATATAGTTGTGAACGAGATCGTAAGCTCTTTCTTGATAAGCAGAAAATTCAGCCGGCATGTGGTAATCACTGTGGAAGGGGATCGGCTGCGTAAAGCCAGCGAGTAAAGGGAGAGGAAAAGTTTACATAAGAACATAACAAAAATATAAAAAGGCAGACTGACCTTTTTGTTTCTTCTGAGGAGTGGGAGGGCGTGCTTTGACGAGAGTTTCTTATTTGGCAGTTTCAAAGTCCCACTAAATTTTTTTGAGCTGACTGATAATGTTGAAATATGTGGATGAAAGTTTCTTTTAACACCTCTGCGTGAGGCCGGCTAAACAGCCCAAAGAGCCGTGAAATTATAAACTTCTTTGGTTTATGTAAGGCGTGCAGTGTTCAAAGAGCGCACGGTCATCGGAATATGCTGGATGTTCAAAAATATGTTTGACGCATTTGATGAGACTGTGGTTGTTGCAGTAAGAATTCGCTGTTAGACCAAAGCGGTGCAGTATAAGCTGTTTTCATGAGTAGCGTTTGGCCTGATACAGAGTTTCCAGACATTGAGTAATTCTGGATGAGAGTATTGCTCATAGATGTTGATCGTCTGAGTACAAGAAAACATAATCATGGGTCGGAACGTTCCAAAGCCTCTCCTCTTCTGCGAAAGCAAGTATCTGAGTCAGCTGGGAAGCATGAGATTTTGTGAAATAAGCTTGTCGGCTTTTTCGCAGGCCATAATACCTCACTGAGGAGGTATCCGCTGAATTGTGATAAAGTGAGCACTGGTGTCACACATTTGGTGGAAGTACGTAACGTCAAACGAAATGAAGTGATGCTCTGATTAATTTAGGTGTTTGAACGATATCTGTGGTGAATTCGCTGAAAATTACGTATTGGTCCGGTGTTTGACGCAGGGTAAGGAGAACAGCTTTTTTGATGTCATAATGCTCTGCTGTCACTGAGAATGTCCTCAGCTGTAGCCGATAAGATAGCATTTGTCTTGTAGAGAGGACATAAGGGCCCATATGAGGAAGTCTACTGCATGGGTGGTTGAGACGACAGTGCAAATATGAGGCGGTTTGGTTAAGTAGAGGAGACAAGTATGCAGCTTCGGAGTATTATTATTCGTGTGACTCTTCGCTTTATTGATGTCTGGTACAAATTGTTTTATATCAAAAGCCGAATATGTCCAGGGAGAAAACAATTTCATGGCTGATAATAGGAGGAATTTGCGGAATTTACACACATTGGTCAAATGCAGAATTGCAGTGAGTTAGATGGATGCGGCACAAAAAATGCTTCTAGCCTTGTAGGTGATGTCAAAAATGTACGCACGCATTCACGGTACAGTGCATAAACACTAATGATGCGTGACATCACAAACTGTACCTGGAAAGAGGCACCATGGAGTGCATCTGTATGGAGTTGATGAACCACTCGCGAAATGTGTTATCTGTATCGTCCACCATGGTGGATCAGTGGCTAAGACGCTCGGCTGCTGAACTAAAGGTCGCACCCGGCCATGGTAGTCACATTAAATTTCGAAGGAGGCTAAACGGTAGTGGGTGTGAAAAACTTCATTCACGGCGAGTTTGCAGGCCACCCTCGGCACAGAGGAAGTCCTTATTCCGAGACCTCGTTGAACAAGGCCGCTACCCGCGCCCGGGGAACTAGACTGCTTTGAGCCTTGAGGCCTGAGGAATTGAGTAGAGGCCCGTGTACTGTGGGATGTCGGAGCAAGCTAAAGAATACAAGGTGGCTAAAACTTCTGGTGCCTTCCACGATGGCGTCTCTTATATTCCTATTGTGGCTTCGGTGCGTTAAAGCACAGATACTAGTGGTAATATTTATTATCTGTATGTTAGACATTTTTGTTTGAACACGTCTTCAGGGTGTTATTGATGCAAACAGTGCTTGTGTTGTTGTTGTAAACGGTTTTTATTTAATACGTGTTTAGAATTCTCTGTAAACGTACATATCGGTTGTAGAGAGCTTGTGCAGGAACATGGCTAAAAAAACTTATTGTTGCACGAGAATGTCTACGTTCAGAACTGATTTTAAGACACAAAAAACAATAACGAGAAGGTGCTCTGTGGTCTTTTCGCCAACAATTTTTCTTTCTTCCTCTCTGTACTTGTTCTCTGACCCATCGTAGTTACTGAATCTCACGCCAGAAAAACCGGCGCATGTGTTTGAGATCAGAGCTCAAAAAGAAAAAAGAGGATGAAAAGATGATATGGCCAGTTCATGATGG